TTATATTTATTGCCAACATATTATAAGTCTAAGAGGTCACACACATTAAATGACATGATTAGGATTAAATAAGGATAATCAATTAAGTTAGACTTAATTGAAAGAGATCAAAATAAAGTGAGAAATTAATTAAGTTCTTATAGACTTTATTAAATTAAAATACAACTATTATATTTAGGATTACAAATTAGTTTGACTATATAAATATGTTATATTAGCAAATTAAAAACTCGAAACTTCTAACCACTTTTCAGCAGTCTTATAAGATAAGAAAAGAAAAATAGTTTTCTTTGACAAAAATAAGATTTAGCAAGAATTTTGATCTTTTTGTTTTAGAAACAAAACTTGCTAGCATAAGTAAAATCTTACTTTGAAGAAAGTCTTATTCAAGTATTGTATGGATTACTATTAGAAACCAAACACTTGGGTGGCTGAAGATTTGACAAATCTTAAAGTGAAAAAGCAAAGAAGCAAAGAAGCAAAGATTTTTGGATTTAATTGGCTCTTGATTACGATATTTAGAATAGGGTATGTAACTCTTAAACTTATGAGTGTTTATAATTTATTTGAAAGTTACATGAAAAACAAACATTAATTTTGTAGAATTCAATTATTTCTCTGATTAAATATTATTTTTATTTTTTTATTATATTATATTTTAATATATTAATTATTTTTCATGTTTGAGTATGAGATCGAATCTCAGCAAGCAGCCAGCCAGATACAATAGAAACGAATCGACAGGCAATCTCAATAGTCAATAGTGTTTGTCACTTGTCAATTACTTCCACTAAATGAAGCAAAATCCTATTAGTTCCACGGAACTTTGTTTAGTTATATGTGAGTGCACTCGTTCTTTCAGTGCCCACTGCCCACATTATCTCCATTGCAACTCTCGGGTGACTGCTAAACTTTTACTTTTGGCTTGGCGGACGGTGCAGCTTTGGACGCAGGCCACCATACTCCAAAGGTGTCCACACCGGCTGTCCCCTGGAAAAAGACGAGAACATTCGGCACCTGTAGTGAATTGGTTAAGACAATTAAAATGGTTATAAATACATGCATTTGAAATTGTATTCTTATTCTTCCTCCACATACAATTAACCGAACTTCAATTATTACGAACTAGTATCTACATAATTAGGCTAAGGTAATAGAACTTTTGGAGAAATGGGAAATGTCGAGCCTTTTGCAGGCTCTCACAACCCTACCCTACTTACTGCACATGCTACTTTACTTGGCTCGAGAAGCTGATGGCTGTGGTGTCATTTTTGGCATAAATTAATGGCCAAACAATTTCATTTGCTTTTATTCGAGTTGTGTCCAAATATGTGGATATGATTTCATGTTCAGACACTCTGCCAATTTGGCACAAATATTACCATATTCCATGCATAGATAAAACGTTATTAATTAACCACTTGTTGCACACAATATGTTAATGTCTAAGTTTGCTTCCTCTGTCTGTCTGTCTGTCTGTCTGTGTTTTTTTTTTGTTGTTCTTTTTCTTTTTAGATATTCAAATTTCCTCTTTTTGAACACTTAATATTAATACTTTTTTATATTTTAAATTGATTTTACATTATTTTACTTTTTGTAATTACCAATCATGAAATTTTTTTTTTTGAGAAGTGGACCAATCATGAAATATTTGTTTCATAAAACAATTTAAAATTTAACTATAAATTGCAAGTAAACTTTTTGTTTAATGATCTCCATGAAAATTTAAAAGTGATGAAAGGAGTAATACATAACCATTCTAAGAGGTTGATGGCTTGATTTGTTAAATTATTAACAAAAATCCATCACAATAATTAAATTTAGACATAACTTTTAAATGAAAATCAATAAAAGAATACATCATTCCGGCGGAGCCTCCTTTAGCTTTGGGAAATTTTTACAATTTTTTTATATCATATAAAATTTTTAACATAATCTTTTCATGGCCTTCCAAAATAATTTTTTATTTAATAATTAATACAAATAAAGAACAATAAAAAATGATCCTACATGTCTCACTCAACTTAAACATTTTTCTTTGTTTTCTTTTTTCAATTTATATTATTATTTATATTTATATTTATTTATATTATTTGTTCATTGTTTTCAGTTTCTATAGATTTTCTTCTCCAAATTTTTAGGAACCATCAACCATATTTTTTTTTATATCATAAATGGGTTTTATCTTCTATTTATCATGTTCTTTTTTTTTCTTATTATGTCAATTTTATTTTCTATAATTTTAATCTTTAAAAATTAATAAATTATTATGTAGTTTTCAAAAATAAGTTGTAATGTTGCACTATTACTTAAAATTTCATTAGTGTATTTTTTTTATTAATCCTGATTATGTAAGAGGAAATTATCTTAAAATATCTTTTCTATATGCTTTATATTTTATATTTAATTAAAAAGAATTTATTTTGAATATATAGTCCTTAAACAATCCTAATTATAGAAGAGAAAATTATTAATCCTATATATCGTATTTAACTATTTATATTTTATGTGTTATAATTTTGTATTTAGTATTATAAGTTTAAATAGAAATAAAATAAGAATATTGAAGGTTGATTGTATTAAATTTTTTTCAAGTTTAATTGAAATATAAGTAAATTGAAAATAATTGATAAATTCTTTAAAAGAAAATATGCAAATTATCAAAATGATTCTCTTACACTTGACCCATCAAGCCTTAATGCTTAAACTCATGAATAGGAGTAATGCGAATCAAAATGTCTAAGACTCAATCTTAAAAAAATAAATATTTTTCAATATATATTTAATAAATTATATTTTCAATCTTAAAAAATTATATAATTAATAAATTATTTTCAATCTTAAACAATACATCATTAATAAATTATTTTTCAATATTTTAAAAATATTGATATTTTATTTATAATTAAAACATTATAATGATACAAATATCAGAATATTAATAATTTTAAAATTTTTAATAAAAAGTATTTTAGTCTTACGAATTTTAAAGGTTATTCGTCCAACCATTAAATAGTAAATACCATTAAAGGAGGAAGGGTTAGGATTAGTTAAGCCTTGTTTTGGGAAGATTTTGGAGATTAGCAATTAGAAGAGAATAGTTATTCCTTGAGCCATTCGCCAACCAAATAAGAGAAGAAATAACACATAGGAATAGAAGGGGAATAGCTATTCCCCATATCAAACATGCTATACAAAATTATCCAAATTCACTTTGCTAACTTAAAACCAAATCATCATAAATGAATTTAAGAAGGTTCATAGAAGATATAAAATGATCTCAAGAACCCATAAAACTAAATTAACAAAAGTCATGGACAATAATTTTTAAAGTTTGAGAAAAAAATATATCATGTAGATTATGCACTAATCAAGATTGGTTGTTGATCATATTGACCGTATATTAATTAATTGACAATAGTTTCAATCTTGAAGATAGTAGTTTTAGTTGTGATTTTTCTTTTCATAATATTTGAAAAAAAATCTCTAAACTATTTAAGAAAACTAAAATAAATTTTTATTATTCGATTGTATTCAATCAAATTTCTGTATCTTTACTTTAAGTCAAATAACTTTTTATAGTTAATAATTGATTAATTACTATTAATTAAAAATATCATTTATTATTTTATTACCGCATAATATTAATATGGTGTTGATGTAGAAAGTAAAAAATATTACGTAATTATATTATTATAATACATCATCGTATATTATGTTATGTTAACATGTCACGTTAACACCACATAATATGGAATGATAAGTGATATTTGATTAATAATAGTTAATTAACAATTAATGATAAAAGTTTATTTAACTCAAAATAAAAATAAAAAAATATAATTTAATTAAATAAAAAAATTTAAAATTTTAAAAATAATATTATACTTTTTTTTATAAAATAAAAATTGTATTCTTAGGCTTTGCATCACAATCACTTAATTCATTGATTCAAGATCTGATCAAAATCTTTTAAACTGGAATTCCAATCACAGGCATATGATTGAAGTCCTTGGTGGACTGATTAATGGAAGGCGCCCACTTCCCAAAATACTAACACTAATAAAATAGAGTCAACCACAAGAAATCACTGTTTCCCTCCGCTCTCTAATGCCCAAAGCTCAGCCAACACATGCTAACATCATTGCCATCACAGAAACACATGCAAAGCTGTACTCCTTCCTCCCGCACGTGTCATCATCTCTCTCCTCTATCTCACACGTGCATGCCCTCAATTTCATTCAACTAGGTTCACCTTAAATTACTCTTTAATCCAGTATGATGTACATCCTCGAGTTCCTGGTCACAACAATTAAATCGATATATTTTGTTGGTTGTGCTTTTAGATAACTAACGGATTGAATGGATTCCATAATAGGATTAGGACGTCCTCTCTCTCTCTAGATCTAGCAGGAGTCCTAACATAGGACAAGCACAAGGCAGTCCTTTACAAAGATTCCTTCGGTTTTATAGCATTTTCACATGGTTGCAAACTTGTCACTGTGAACCCAGGAAAAGGGTTGGCTTTTTTGACAGAGAGAAAACAGCTGATTTGCTTGTCGAAAGTTGAAACCGACTCTAAACAGAAAAAATGGGGCCTTGTCGACTCATTACTTTATGGTCAGCAAAACCCACTTTCTGCGTTTCCTTTGTGAAATAAAGCTGTCATTTTTTTTTGTTTTTAAGACACAAAACCTTTGTCTGGGTATTTGGTGGAAGGAAAAAATTTGTGAAGCTGACCTGGGGCTGGGGTGGGTGCTATCCTTTCTCTAAAGATTTAAAGTTTATTCAGGTTTTACTGTATATTAATAATACTGAGGCCATTCTCTCTCTCTGGCAACTGCAACTTGTTGATGGGAGTTTGGCTTTTAGATTAATGGGATTTACAGTTCATGTCTTGTCATCACAAAACGCGTTGCCTTTCCGTGTTACATTTCTTTTCTCTTCTTTGTTTTTAGTTTGCTTAGTGTGAAATAAACCAGATCTGCATTTGGCTTTGTACGAAACGCAAAATCAAACATTCTTTGCTGGTAACTTCGCTATCCTTCACTTTCTTGTCTGCTGGAGTCTTTCTAGATTACTGTTTAGTGCTGGCAACTTAGCTCTCTCGTTTTGTAGAATTGGGATCATATCTTAGTAATGAAATGCGTGAAAAGGTTTCTATTTTTAGTCCCTTCATATCTTTTCTAGCAACATTGTTCAATTTTGCATATACAAAATTAAGCTTTTTTTTTTTTCAGCTTAATTTGCAGTTTGGATGTTGTGTTGTCGCTTTTCTGGATCTTTGACTTAACATTTTTCTGTTTTTTGTTGTTGCTTAATAATGGTATGTGTTGTTCAATGCAGCTGCAGATCAAGGTGGAAACTTTAGAGTTGCTTTTGAAAAATAGTAAAGTGAATTCATAATACGTTTTGGATGGTGGGTTCGTGATCTGTTGGGAAGGTAGTTCATTTGACGACTGCGGATTGAGGCGGAAACTTTGGACTTGTTTTTGCAAAATACTTCAGTTTAAGTAAATTGGAAGAAGGCTTGTTCAGATTTGTGGGAGATCTTGTTCATTTGAAGGAATTTACCTTTTGATTGAGGTAGACAACGTGGTAATGGGTTATTGAGGATGATGGGAAATAGTTTGATTTTGAGGCGAAGGATTTGTTAAGTTAGAGGTCTTGGGCCAAAGGTGAAGACCTTGCTTTGGTAGATATGGCCTCTGGAGAAGGGAGGCGTCATCGTCATGATCTTGTGCCTCTTGCTGCTTTGATCAGCAGAGAGATGAAGAATGAGAAGATGGAGAAGCCGACTGTGAGATATGGGCATGCGGCTCAGTCTAGGAAAGGAGAAGATTATTTCTTGATTAAAACCGATTGTCAGCGAGTACCTGGGAATCCTTCATCAACCTTCTCTGTTTTTGCGGTAACCTTTGCTATTTCTCATACAGATTCTACTCTGTATTTCTCCATATCATGAATGCCTTGCCTAAAGGACTGGCATTTCTTCCTTGGTGCTTTGGGTGATAATTTTAGTGCCCAATGTTTTATATTGTTCTTAAGGACGCTTTGAATCTATCAAAAGGTTTATAGTATGAATTTCAATTAGGCATTACAATTTGCAAGATTGATTAGCTTAGCCATTGGTAGAAGTATTCATGCTGTAGCATTTTTTTTAATGGTCAAATTCAAGTATGACATGTTTAGAGCTTACAAACAAGAGAAGCATTATGGATTCTCTAATGAATAGTAGTAAATCTCTGCAAAATTCAAGCATTATGTTAAGTGGTCCGACAGTTGCTTCATTAATATCTTCACTATTCTCTGTAATAATGACTATTTTCTTCTGCTTTCAGATCTTTGATGGGCACAATGGTAATGCTGCAGCAATTTTTACAAGGGAGCACCTTTTGAGTCATGTATTGAGTGCTGTTCCCCGTGGCCTTGGGCGGGAAGAGTGGCTTCAGGCTTTACCTCGGGCATTAGTTGCTGGATTTGTAAAGACAGACAAGGAGTTTCAGAGTAGAGGTTTGGAATTTAACCTTCTTCAGCCTTTTCTTTGTTTTTTTTTTTTTTTTTTGAGTTGGGCATATCCTACTATATCTATTGTACATTTAGCTAACACTAATGCTCTGTCCTTGTTGAATTCTCTCCAGGGGAAACATCGGGTACTACTGCCACATTTGTAATAGTTGATGCATGGACAGTGACTGTTGCTTCTGTAGGGGATTCTCGATGTATTTTAGATACTCAGGGTGGTGCAATCTCCACCTTAACTGTTGACCACAGACTTGAAGAGAATGTGGAAGAGTGTGTCTCTATCTTGAAAAGCTCCTTTCTTCCATTTTCCTGAACAGAATTCTTAATTGGTGGTGTATTATTGTGATTGCAGGAGGGAACGTGTGACCGCTAGCGGGGGTGAAGTTGGGAGGCTCAGCATTGTCGGTGGTGCTGAGGTAGGTGATTTCAGAGCTTTAACCTTGCTTATCTCCCCTAGTAACATGTACTGGAGTCACTTAGTGGGCATGATGGTCATTTTTTTTGGCACTTAGATTTTGTGTAACTTCTTTTTCTTGATTGCTACAGATTGGTCCTCTCCGTTGTTGGCCAGGAGGTTTATGCCTGTCTAGGTCAATAGGAGACATGGATGTTGGAGAGTTTATAGTTCCCATACCATATGTAAAGCAAGTGAAGGTAATAATTGTGGAACTTGTGCTCTTAACTTGTTGAATTGTCTACTTTCTCTTATGACATTGAAGCCCATATATACACATTTAAGTTTAAAAATGCTAATAGTTCTTATTGTGTGTAAAAGCTGTCAAAAGCGGGTGGGAGGCTTATAATTGCTTCTGATGGCATTTGGGATGCCCTATCATCAGAAATGGCTGCGAAATCTTGCCGAGGATTGCCAGCTGAACTTGCTGCTAGACAAGTTGTTAAGGTGATTAAATTTATTGCCATGCAATTTCTCCTTTGTTAACCCTTGCTATAAGCCTGCCTTTTGCCTCTTTTCTTAAGGGCATTTGTTGATCCTTGTCCAGGAAGCATTAAGGACACGAGGTTTAAAGGATGACACAACTTGCATTGTCGTCGACATAATTCCTCCCGACAATTCCATACAGCCTTTGCCCCCTCCCAAAAAGCAGAATAAACTGAGAGCATTATTATTCAGGAAGAGGTCTCATGATTCTGCAAACAAACTATCAAAGAAGCTTTCAGCTGTTGGTATAGTGGAAGAACTGTTTGAAGAAGGCTCAGCAATGCTTGCTGAAAGGTTAGGACTAGACTTCTTTTGCTAGTTGAAGTTCTACTTGTAGTTATCTTACCCTCCCCATGCTCTTTCTGCTTTCGTTTTTGATATTATACTGTCAGGGCTAAAGTTGCACTATATCCCACGGTAAAACATATATTTATATAAAGTCAGCATTGCCACTTAAATACTACCATTTACGTTTTTCTGTTGTACTTGATACTGAAATGTTATTGCTTCCTTTTGAGCTAAAATATTGATTAACCTTTTTGATCATGCAGCATTTTAGCCATAAGATTTCAGTGTGAATAGTTTAAAATTTCTTAGATATGCCCAAGGCCTTGGTTTGAAATGGGCTTGAGGTACATCTTTGGCTGACTCCATACACCCAGACAGAAAAAGGGGCAAGAAGAGAGTGGGTTTGAAGGGGTGAATTGGCTCTGAAAAAGTTTGTTCATGTCGAATTTCGATATTCATGTCTAACCTTAAACTTTCTAGTAAAACTTTCACTGACATCAATGTTTTATTTTTTCAATTCATTTTCTTTCTTGCTACCTATCACAAAGCTTTTTTAGGTTCATTGTGAGGAACAGGGGAGAGTGGAGATTCAAACCTTGGATCTCAATCCTCTTAAAGAGTAACAATGCCAGGCTAAGCCTGAGTTGTTACCTATCACAAAGCTTTAATATGAATCATAATTGTTCTTCAATTTGTGCCACATCTATCATTTGTCGCTTAGTTTATCGAGTGGTAGTTTCTTACAGTATTATGTGTTCACATCTTATTAGTTTCTTCTTGTCATGCAGACTAGGAAACGATGACTCTGCAGCGCAAACAACATCTGGTCTTTTCACATGTGCTGTATGCCAAGTTGACCTTGCTCCAAGTGAGGGCATCTCAGTTCATGCTGGTTCCATATTCTCCACCAGCTCAAAGCCCTGGCAAGGGCCCTTCCTTTGTGCTGATTGCCGCAATAAAAAGGATGCCATGGAAGGAAAACGCCCAAGTGGAGTTAAAGTGGCGTAACTTTTTCTTTATTTGCCTCATTCTTTGCCCCATGATTGTTATTCTTTTGATAGCAACCTTTTTACTAGGCCAGGCAATTGTTATGAATCTTACTACATTGTGCATTAAATGTATATGTAATCCCACTGAATAATAATGTAAAAGGAGCATTATCATTTAAAAAGTGTCAGTCTAAGTAGCATATGTACTATCAGCGATTGTATGGCTTTCTCGAAACCCTCCAATATAGAGAAGCCTGCAGTGTATATTTACATATATGTATAGGTTGATGCTTGGGTTAATTAGTGCAATTTGCAGTTTGGTCTGTATCTGAAGATCCCTGCTCTGAGTTCAATTGGGCTAGCTGCAAGGTAGATAGTAGGTTGCTTGTTTAATGTTATCAATGGAAAAGAGAAGATAATTTCGTACAAAGAGACAGAGCAGTGGAACTTTCAAGTTTCTGGGATGCTTCAAGTAGTAAGTTGTATGATAGTGTCCAGGAAAAAAGAAATCCATATACTTTCCAGTTCATCAGGTTGCCAGATTTGTTGCCATGCTTACAGGTTTTGTAACAATCTTAAACGGCTGAGAATATAGAGCAAGCAAGATGGAAACCAAGGCCATTCCGAGCTCAGCAATCTCCAACCAGGAAATCAATCTGTGCCTAGGCCACTTACTCGTAAGACTCGAAGAAGCAGAGGGGACTTGAGCTTTGCCATTGATCAAGATCAACACCTTTAGAATTTCCCCCATCAAATTCCAATTACAGCTCTAGAAAATCAACGCAACCTATAAATAAATCTGCTTCCATTGTTAATTAAATTGTCTTTGCTAGTTTGCCTTAGTGCTTGTCTACAAAAATTACATGAATTTAAAAGTTGTAATTAATCTTGGAAATAAGGGTAGTAGATTTTGTTTCCGCTTGTAATTTTAAGTTTAATAAACTTTTATATGCCCAAAGAAAAGATATAAATAAATAAGAGATTCTGTGGTAAAACACGACTAGAAGTGTGCAAAGATTAGGAAGATTCTAGAAGCAGAATTTCCCTGGGTCAAAAGATCTCTCCAGTCCTTGTAATCTTTAATTTTATTCAATTTAATCTTTATATTCAAAATCGAAGTAATTTAATCTCTTTTTCTAAAGACATCCAATTTTACTATTAAAGGATGACATTAACGCTAACGTGTCACATTCTGATTATATGGCATTTGAGATAATGACATGGCATGCCACGTGGCATTACATGATAACGTGACAGTGCTAATGTATCACTGACATGTTAGTGCCATGTGGCAGATTAAAAAAATTCAAAAAAAAAAAATTCTACCACGTCATAGGGACTAAATTGAACTAAAATATATAGTATAAGGATTAAATTGAATAAAATTGAGATGTTAAGGGATTAAATTGAAAAAATATTTAAAAATTATAATTCTTTAAGTAGATTATTGATATGCTTATTAATAAGCCAAATATTTAAGTGTAAAAGATTTATGGT